GGGCTCCCGGCTCAGCGGGGAGCCTGCTTCTCCCTCTGACCCTCTCCCCTCTCATGCTGTTTCTCTCTCGCTCGCTCTCTAAAAAAATAAATATAATCTTAAAAAAAAAAAAAAAGTAGGAAAAAAAGTATTTGTTAAAAATGTATACTGTGGTAATCATTCTGCAATATATGTATATCAAATCATTATCCTATGTGCCTAGAATACAATGTTATGTTGTTAATTATATTTCAATTTTAAAATAAATAAATTTGTATTTTTAAAAACTTAAGATTAGACCTGTGAAACTCATCTTTATTCACTAATTTTAACCAACAACTTTTCATGTCATTTTATACAGTATCCCGGAAATAAAAGTAAATATACCTTTCTTTTTGTGATCTAGCAGACAGCTTTGCAAAAATTCCAATTTTAATTATACTAAAATGGACTTCTTACCACTCCTCCAACAACGATGATGCCCATAGAAGTTCTAGATGTGAGAGAAGCTAATCCTGTTATTAAGGTAACCATGAGTTCTTCCTGTGATGCATTGTCTGGCGTTGCTGGATTGGTTGGAGCAGTGGGAGTAGAGGCTAAAGATCTGGGGAGCTGATAAGGTTGGGGAAAAAAGGATTATTACAATTAAACAACTACAAATGGAATAGTTACATTTATAAAGTTCTATTGTATTTCTTGTATAATTACAGTAGTAAATCTATAAAGAGAATGACTCCAATGAGTTTACCATAAATATATGAAGAAAATAAAAATGGTCTGAAAATTATTTTCTATGATCAATACTGAACCAATGATACCATGATGATGATGAATTTTCATACTATATGATTCTACCTGTAATAGTAGGCCCTCAACTCTCAAGAGGAATTAAAGCTGTATTTTAAAATTCTCACACCAAAGACACATCCTTAAAAAAATGTATTTTTTTAAATTACTTAGAAATTAAAATCTTCTACACTTCAAAATACACTGTGTAAAAATTAAAAGATAAGCCACAGACTAGAAAAACGTACTTGGAAATCATGTATCTGACAAAGGACTTGTATCTAGAGAATATATAAAGAACTCCTACAATAAGAAGCCAAATAATACAATTAAAAATGGGCAAATGATCCTGAATAGACATTTCACAAGATATAAGAATGGCCAATACAAGCACATGAAAAGATGTTCAAAATAATTAGTCGTTAGGGAAACACAAACTGAAACTATATGAGATATCCCTTCACATCCACTAAATAAAAAAGACAGACAATAACAAGTCTTGATGAGAATGTTGAGAAACAGAACCTTAATATACTGCTGGTGGGAATGTAAAATGGTGTAGCTGCTTTGGAAAACAGTTTGGCAGTTCCTCAGAAAGTTAAACATGGAGTTACCGCATGGCCCAGCAATTTCATTCCTAGGTATATACTCAAGAGAAATGAAAACAGATGTCCACATAAAAATAGTACATGAGTGTTCATAGCAGCATTATTCATAATTGCCAAAAAGTACAAACAACTCAAGTGTCCATCAACTGAATAAAATGTGTGATATCTATAATGGAGTATTATTCACCTATAAAAAAAGGAGTACTGATAAATGCTACAACATTCATGTACCATGGTGATGAGTCTTGAAAATACTATGCTAAGTGAAAGATGCCCCAGTCACAGATGGCCATATTTTTTATTATTGCATTTATAGGAAATGTCCAGAAAGGCCAAAATATGATAGTTACAGGAAGCTGACTAGCAGCAATAGGGCTGGAGGTGGGAATGATGATTACTTGCAAATGGGCACAAGTGTACCATTTTGGGGTGACAGGTTCTTTTTTTTTTTAATCTTTTTTTTTTTTAAGATTTTATTTTTATTTTTCGACACAGAGACAGTGAGAGAAGGAACGCAAGCAGGGAGAGTGGGAGAAGCAGACTTCCCACCGAGGAGGGAGCCCGATGTTGGGCTCGATCCTAGGACCCTGGGATCATGACCTGAGCCGAAGGCAGCCACTTAATGACTGATCCACCCAGGTGCCCTAGGGTGACAGGTTCTAAAACTGGATTGTGGTGATGGTTTTACAACTCCATAGATTTTCTGAAAAAGTACTGAATTGATAAATTCAAGTTTTTTTCTAAATGCTTGCATTTACTCTAATTTAGTTGAAGTCAAAACTTCAATTCTATTTGAAAACAAAAACTTAAGGAATAAAAACCATTTCAAAAATGAATGTACAACAACCTCCAACAGTACTGAATGAAAATGCTGGAACTGCCTTTCCCTTTACATTGTATACCTAATTCAGAAATGGTTCTACGTGATGCAAATTGGACACAACTAGGTCTATTAGAGAAATCACATAAGCAAAATAAAAAAGAATCTCAACTGGTAAAATCAAAAATACATAACTGTGTAGTAGGAGCAATAACAAAATAAAAAGCTCAAAAAAAAAAAAAAGATACCTGGAAGATGGGTTCTGATAATCCTAGCAGCACCCTCTGAGCATTCACTGGGCCCAAGAAACGATGCACAAGGGAAGACCAGCCCAGGGAAAAACGAAATACAATATCCTCTTGAAAATCTGAACATAACTTGTGGCAATTTAGGTCATAGCTGAGATCAAATTTCTTGCAAGGAATCAGTGTATGAAGTTTATTCTGTATACCAGTTGGAAGTAATGGCTTCAAATTTTCTAGACAAAACAAAATCATGATATTTAAGAAACAATAGTAAATAATGTTATACATTTTATAAAACACCTAAAGGAAAATAAATCCTTTCCCAACAAAATGAATAAAAAAACCACACATGAACTTGTAGACATAAACATTACCAATAATTTCTTGCTGGGACTGAAGCATTGAAGCATTGACTTCATTGGTGCACCGATCGGCCAAATTTCTTCCCATACCATCTTCAATGTGCTTATTTAACTCCTGTTAACATGGTACATGGGCCCATTATTTTTTCTCTAGAACATGTACAAATTTTACGAAAGCTTAAAAAGTATAGTAAATGATCTTATTCTAAGAGGATAACGTTGTGTACTTTATATACAAGATAGTTTACACTTATTACAAGAGTGCACAGGAGATATGAGTTCAATCATGTATTGATTGCCACGAAGACACTAAAATGGCTAATCCACTAAATAAAAATGTAGAATAAGGTGAGAAAAACTGAGTAACTCTCTTTAACAACAATTTAACTTACATTTTTATATACTTTCAGTACACTTGGAGTAGGATGAAACTCAGAACAAAATTCATCAACCAAAACAGACAGTCGACAAATTTCATCTGTCATTGCACAGGAAACCTGAAAATATGAAGTTAAAAAAATTAGACAAGATTAGCACCTACTCAACCAAATTGTAAAAAACTTAACAAAATGTGCCTTTAGGGTAACAGGGATAACATTTTTAGGATTATCAAAAATATTTTCATTTCCAGAAATTTATTTAAAGATTTTATTTTTAAGTAATCCTACACCCAATATAGGGCTCGAACTCACAACCCCAAGATCAAGAGTGGCATTCTCTACTGACTGAGCCAGTCTCTCCATTCCCAGAAATTTTAATCATAAAGTGACCAACCCACCTTGTTTGCCACCTCTTCTGTAACCGCCCTGATTTTTTTCTTAACATCCAGTGTTAAAAGGTTCATCTGGTTTCGGATAAAGTCCAGTCTATCAATTTGATCTTCCCTCTCTTCCATTGAATAAACCCTATTGTAGTATGCAAAGTAATTAATTCTCAGGATACATTAAAGTCCCAAAGCAATTAAGCTAGGGCATTCACTTATGTAATGAACCAGCTGTTAGCATGATATGCAGGGGGAAAATGAATCTTGTATTTCAACATCTAAAAGGATTCAAATAATATTTCATTTATAAAATATTTCCTAGATGACTGTATATAAACTACTTTGTCTCTCTGCACATGTGGCATCTGAATCCCACAAAGAAGAAGGATTCTCCAAACACAGATATGAACAGTCACAATAAAAATACTGACTTCATTTAATAAAAAGCCAAATCCAGCCAGCTGTTATTTTTTGTTACGGTTTCCATGACCATTCATATGCCTATCATCTGTATGGCTGGCTGTCTTTGCCCGAAAACTGCAGAACAGAGTAGTTGCAAAAGAGAAAGTACAACCCACAAAACCTAAAGTATTTACCATCTAGCTTTTACAGAAAATTTGTCAACCACTACAGGATATAGGAAAACAAAGATCTGAGATTCTTTTAAATTATCTTTAGCTAAGAGAGTTCCAAAGACATGATTATACAAACCATCCTCAAGTCACATCTTCTTTGTGCTATGTTTAGTTCAATGTCCTGTATTTTTCAAATCAGTAATATTAAGGTCAACCTGTGGACCAAATACTCACTTTGACTACTATGATAAAGCAACTGAGCTGGAAGAGGTATAAATGACACCACACTCTCATACAGAAACAGTGCACAGGGCCTGAGATCAGACTCTGAGTTCTCACTCTTGTGTTTTATATATTACAAATTCTCTAATTTTATACATGATGCATTCCAGCAAAAGTGTCAAAATTAGGCAATAGATTTAGGTGTATTTGTTCCCTGTAAGATCAAATGCATTTAAAATTCCCAATTTAATGTCCTCAATCTCTGATGCTTTGTATCTTTCCCTTGATTGGCTTAAGCCCACTAACAGTTCAGTCAAGGCTTAACATCATTACGTGTGTCACATCTAATAATATCCACAACTTTGTTTTAAGTGCACCAAGTTTGTGAGAACTACCCTTTTCTTCAATGTTAACAATTTCATGTATTTACTTTCATCTTTATAAGGTAATAAATGGAATAACAGCGCAGTACAATGACATATAGGGTAGTGCTTACCAAACTGACTTTCTGGCTGGCAGGTATTATCACCTTGTTTGCTTACCAGTTGATAAAAACCCACAACTGGCATCAAAAGAGATTTCAAGGTACCAATGTATAAATATATGAAAAATGGGTCATAGGTTGAATGTAACAAAAAAGAGGACCACCTCCTTTATGGACTTCTTCAAAAAATTCCACTTGAAGAAATAGTCCTTCCACTGCTTTAAAGATATTTTAAAACTATGAAGCATGTTAAAATCATAGCTCATGAGAATACTGAGTTCCGGGAAATGTAAATGATGTATTTAAGGTTGTAGAATATTTATAATTTCAAATACTCATTTAAAAACATGCAAGTAGGTTGCTGACTTTAGTGCGTTAAGTATTTAAAATATAACAATTTAAGACCTTAGTCTAAGGAACTTATACTGACACGAACTGACATTTTTATTTTGCAATAAAATGAATTCATACCTTTTCTCTGCTGCTGCCACGTTTACTGAATCCATTATGTTTTTCACAGTATCTAGTATCTGTTTAGCTCTGATAGTGTGCTGTTCAAACTTTGTTTTCACTGCTGACTGCGAGATACACTCCTGCGAGGGCCCAAGCCATAACACATTACTGTAATTCCATCCCAACATTTTCAGGAATTTAAACACAAAAACTTGCTGTTTGTAATGATAACCAAAACATAAATAAGAGCAGAAAATAAACGCATGATAAACAGAACTTAAAATAACAAAGGTTAAAAAACCTACAAGAAATCAAAAGTAAAAAGGGCATTAACAGCAAGTTCATATCATCTTTGTGTAATTTTACACAGTAATGTGCAATGGTTTTTTGACTATATTTTTAAAAATAAATGAATAAATAAGCAGGGTACTGTTGTCAATGTTAAAGCTTTCTCCATTAAAATCACCAATTTTATCAGGATTGCCTTTAATCTACTCCTAGTCTGTCTTGATTTTTCTCATGCTTACAATACCTAATGAAGTTCTTAACTGAGTTATGAATTAGAATTCCACAATTTAAGAAATTAGTTGAATGACAGGATTCACACAAAGTCATTAATATTTGAACTTGAAAAATACTCTTTAGCAACAACCTATAGGATATTTTTAGAAAAATATCTACAGCTATTTCAAAGATAATCCTGTTATTGTCCTTGCTCTATAGTTTGTGCATACAGTTCGAATGATGCCCTATCTCATTTGTTTCACCTTCAAGCTAATTATAGCTCATAAACCATTCACAGCTATACAAATCAGGTTTCACGACCAGTGTTTTGTTTTGTTTTTTTTTTAAATAGAAGAGAATATATTAGAATGCGTCACATATAGTAATGGATACATTTATACTATAAAATTTGTTTCAATTTCAATACATGTGCATACTACTTGTTATTTAAAATATTTACTGTGAATTCATCATTGAAAGCTCACAAAATTATTACGTTAAAACTGTCCTTTCATTCTTCATAGAAAGTTAAATTCTGCATTGACATAACATCTAAAAACAACTACAAGTGTTTACAGAGGAAGGCCATCTAGTCTTAGAACAATCAAGAAATGCTTGTCTGGGTCAAAGCAGCAATAACTACAATAGGTGTTTTGTAGGAATCCACATTTATTCGCTGTGATGAATTTTTAAAAATTAGGGATATACCCCAACTCTCCATGATTTCCATGAATTCATCTTCTTGAACCTCTTTTTTATTGTAACCAGTATAAATTGTGGTAACTATCCTTCGCCACAATAAATGGCTTTCAAGCTTTAAAAGGTATTCACTTAATACTATAGTATTTGTTATACTGAAATCATTAGTATGTTACATTCATTCAGTACACTATTTATAACCTAGAGCCTTCACATCTCTAAAATGATTACCTGTTCAACTCAGATAGAAAAAACTTTTAATTCTTTTGACATTTTAGCTGTCCTCTTCAGTACTTTGAGGTATGAAAAATAAAACCGACTAACTTCTTTAGCTATAGGACATGTGAGGGTAATTCATTTACTTAACAATTTATAAAGCCTTAACTCCAGCCCATTACTTTCTTTCACTGTATAGCCTAACTTTTGCTCATGGTTAAACTTATTTATACATCACTCAACATCACTAATCCTGAAGAGATTAGTTGTAGGAAGTTACTGTATTCCCCGTTCTATTTGTGCCTACAGAAAAACCACCAATAACTACACAATATTAAACAGTTAAAGTATAAACTGCTTATTTTTAACAACCAAAACAAAGCTTTGATTTTCTTTAAATAACTGTATCTCATAAACTGACAAATTAACCTCCATAAAAATGATAATAAAACCATGAAAATTTAAAAGAAAAAAAGGTTAAAAGAAATTCTATGTTCCTCGATGAAGCAGATCTAGATATCAGCAATGAAGACCCAAAATTTATAGATAACAGCACAGTATTAGAGCTAGACCAGAAAGAAAATATTTTCAAAAGTTATTAGGCAATATAAAAGTCATTCCTTATTTAAAAATATATAATCACGTCATGAATAAATATAAAGAGAATAAGTAATCTTCTTCTACTTAGGAAGTATCCCACACTGATGTTCCCCCTGATCACAAAAATATCAAGTCAACCTGCAAAAGAAATACTCTATTCTGAGTTGTGGGAAATGTTAATTTAAATACAGATTTTTCTTAAGTTGAAGTATGTCTCAGAACCCTCACTACACTAATATGCTTATGAATCCCCATAGAGAACATACATAGTGAGCAGCAGTTTCCAGACTTACTTTATCAGGAACTCTAATTTTCCAAGGAGAAGGTTAAAATACTACACCAAACCATTTTAAATGCCATCTTGTCCGATTATCCTATAGACTATCTTAAAACTTATTAAGGATTTAGAGCCAAAACAATAATCACATCTCAGTGAAGATAGTTTTCTAACTTTCTAATAATATCTAAAGAAGCCAGCTGGTAGTTAATTACAGTTATAGATTTGTAGATATTAATATTTATGTGTAATTAAGACATAAAATGACTTTGTCAAATCCTCTTAACAGACCCCAAACATCCCATAACATGCTATTCATCACTCCCAACTTACTATTTTGAAAGATTTTAAATTGACAGGGCAGTGCAAGAAAAAATACTAATATACAATATACGTTTCCAATTTGTTTTCCTTTCCTTCTCCCTCTCCATACAGATATATCTATATAGATACACATATATTTTTATAGATATTTTTTCCTGCTGAACAATTTGACAGTACTTTGCAGCCATCACAACTTTACTACTAAATATATTAACATGTGTCCCTAGGAATGGGATCATTTTCCTGTACAACCAAGAAACAATTACTGCATTCACTGGGGCAGTACTATTAACCTAACACACAGTCCATTTTCAAATTTCACCAGTTGTCCCAGAATGTCCTGTACAACAAATTCACTGACATTTTAGAGTAGAATTATTTTATACCTGTTTTCCATCTTATAATCAAATTAAAAACAGTTAATTGCCAAATATTTGAGCAAAGATATTTAGATTTCTAAATTATCTTTAGAATATACACTTGTTCAAACACAGGTTTAAAACAGTAAGAATCGTATTGACAGAATTAACACTGATTTTGATTGATTTTAACAGATTTAATTTTCAAGCATTATTTAAACTTGGTACTCCAAATGTTCCTGTACTGTTTTGCTCATAAGAACCAAATGAAACCCAAAAAGTCTATGGCAAACTTGGTACTTTCTTTTCACAAAAATCATTTTCTAAGACTCCAAAAAAAAAGTGAATTCTAAAAACAAAGAGAAAATGTATATAAAGGACACATTCTGTGATCACAATGCAAAGAAACCAAGAAATAAATAACCAAAAGTTGGATGAAAAGAATCAAAACATCTGATTCTTTTTTTTAACTTTTTTTTTTTAAGATTTTATTTATTTATTTGACAGAGAGACACAGAGAGAGAGCACAAGTACGCAGAGAGGCAGGCAGAGGGAGAGGGAGGGCAGGCTCTCGCTGAGCAGGGAGCGCGACGCGGGGCTCGATCCCAGCACCCTGGGATCATGACCTGAGCCGAAGGCAGCCGCTTAGCTAACTGAGCCACCCAAGCGCCCCCAAAACATCTGATTCTTAACAACTCCTGTATTGAATAGAAAATGCCAACAACTACAATTAAAAACTATTAAAGACAATGAAAACTAAACTGGATACCGAAACCTATGGTGTATGTCCAAAGTTACATCACAAATTCACAGACCTAAATTCTCTCCTAAAGAATAAAAAGCAAGACAATTCCACTTAAACAAAGGTATAAGAAAAGGCAGAAGAAACTATGTTTAAAGATTAACATAGAATTTAATGAATAAAAACCAAAAAAATGCTATTTATGAATGGAAAAATTAACCAAAGGCTGCGGCTAGGTCTTTGAAAGATAAAGCAGAGTAGTTAAATCACTGGCAAATCCAATTAAGGTTAGAATATATACACGTGTGCACAAATATGTACATTATGTCTATAAAGAACTGAGAAAGAATACAGAAGTTTTTAAAAATGAACAATTTTATCCTACTAAATTGTAAATTCTTAAAAATGTCCCAAGTTATATCAAATCTTAAATTACCAAAATTGATTTAAGAAGTAACACATTCTACTCTGGAAAAAAAGTTGAAGAGTTGTCAATGTAATCATCAAAAAATGCTTTGGCCACCAAGACAAGACTTTTTGCTCATCTGATTATTTTTTTAGGTAAGTTCGAATAATTTCTAGCTGATTCTCATATTAAATCTATCATACTTTTAATTGAACAAACATTTCAAACTCTAAGGTCTGACATTCTCCACAACTTTATGTAAAAGCTCTTGCACATAGTTTTTTCCGTACATAATTCTTAGATTCCCAAATGAACTATTACAATAAAAAACTGCCAAGTTTCTTCTAAAAACATTAAAAAACGGTAATTCCTAGGTCTGCCTGATTATTGCCATGACTTGGGGAGCTTTGAATATATGCGGATTCCTAGGTCCATCCCAGCCCCACTCGATTGGTCTCTGGGATAATTCAGGAGTCTGCAGTTCTCTAAAGCACCTCATGTGATTCTTATGATCAGCCAAGGTTTAGGAACCAGTGCTCTACAGCACAGCTTTTACTCTTCTCATTCCCACTTCTTCAAGGAGATATTCTGTCTGGGTAGCAGGAACCAATATGAAAGAGGTTATAAATGCGTAAGACAACAATATGACCTGGCAGGAGAAATCAATGACAAATATCTAACACACAAAGAAAGAAGGAAAGAAAGAAAATGTCAATAAATAAAACAAAGGGAGACAGAACAATACATCCTCTCCCCAGTATTTTCCCCATGGATGAAATAACTGAGAAAGAGTAAGGAGAGCACTGAATCTTGTGAAAGCAAAAAGGAAAGAATATAAACAATGGTCTCTGAGTGACTGGGCCTTCATGTAATCTACAGATTAGCTTGGGACAACATATGCTAATATCCCAGGGGCCTCTGACTTTAGAGAGATCTTACCAAGATAGCCACTAGTGGGCTTTCCTTCTTTATGTTTTCATCTACATAACAGTCTATCTCCAACTCACCAAATTAAAGATGGGAGATAGCAAATGTTTAATTTAAAAAATTCTGCCAAGTACATTCAACATTCATGTCCTTACTATTAAAGCTGTTACGACTTAAAGGAAGAATAATTACAGAAAGAAGTTTTTTTAGGTTCTGAAGTCTTCGTGTTCATTCATGGGTGAAAAGGGGATATCAATCTAAGCAGAGCTAGATTAAATAGGGCTAAATAAGAGTTTGGAAATTAACATCTAAAGAACTTTTCACTCAAATGTAGGATGTTTTAATGTCTCTGAATAAAATGCCTACACCAAAATACAAGGAAGTATCCTTCCTTCCCAATGCTGCAAATACATTAGCTATTCATGTGCGCCAGTAGTTCCTACCAGATTCCTAAACTATAGGATACCCTGTATCATAATTATTTTTGTATTCTTTCATTTAGGACATTTGACATAAAATGTGGAGAATAAATAGGCGACAACACAGTTTAAAATGTAATAAACTTTTGTCAAATGACGTTAACTACATTCTCTATCAACAGTATGGTACAAAAGAAAAAGATAAATCTTCACTTTGCTCATTACCCATTCCAACAGCAATTACATTTATTTAATCTTGCCTTAAATTACTGAATAAAGAGAATTTCACTCATTGCACCACACATGCAATATCAGAAAAACAGTTTCCCATTTAAATACAACTACATAAGAAAAAATAAGAAATTACAATCTTTAATTCTCAATTCTTACGGATCATCCATTTTGCAGTGACTTCCTTTCTTCAAACTTGCTTCACTTGCTGTAGCAGTAACTATACTAAATAACAGCAAGCAAACGTTATTTGACAAAGATAAATAGTGGAAACAGAAGATTATGATCATTCTCCAACCAATGTTAGGGTTTTATATTAGTGAATACATTCACAAAATTCCTACCTCGAAGATTTGTTCAAAATTCTGAAACTCCTGTAATCTTGCCTGGAATCCTTCAGCAAGTGCCCCACCTATAATATTTACATGAAGAGTTTAAAACCTAGGATACAGCAAGGTAAGATTTCTAGCATGTTATTTCTATAACTATACTTGTATTTCAAAAGACAATCTATAATAATACATACCACCTTCTGGCATCCCCTGTGCTTTGTGCTTTCTAGCACTAAGAACTTCCTTTGCAGAAACAAAGAAAATACGATTCTGTGCCTCTAAAGGATCCACAACTTTAAGCTCCTCCACCAAGAAATGTAGACATCTTTCCATGTGCTGTCTGCGTACCTAGAGAAAACAGGGTACTGAAATAATTCTAGTAATTAAACAAATGTAACTGACAGCTATCGGCCTATACTAAACTCCATTTATAGTGATATTATAATAAGTAATAGCTCCCATATTACTTAACAAATCCAAAAATTCTAATAAATAGACAGAATACTTTCTCTTAAAGTAATGATCCTTCTTTGACCATTTAAAATTCTGATGGGCCACCAAATACTATGCAGCCATTTTCCAACATATTGTAGACATATATTAGTACTTACTGCCATGGGAAAAGGTTCTTATTTCTGTGTTACTGACATATATGACTATACTACAAAAAAGAAATGTGTATATATATCTCTGAAAATTAACAGGTGGCATGCAGGCAACAACCACAAACCAGGTGGCATTTTTATTTCTTATGCTTATTTTCCAAATTTTCTTACAACGAAGCTATTAATATCTTTGATACCAGAAAATAAGTGCTACAATTAATTTGCTACAATTAAGCTATTTTTATTGTGAAATCAGAACATAAATGTCTATTTTTCTTAAAGCACTGAGAATTAAAGTTGGGGAGAATGCATTAGCTAGGGATTAGGGTTGCAATGTTAGGTTTAAGATTAGCACTTAGGTATTAAAATTAGAACTAAGAGGGGCACCTGGCTGCCTCAGTCAGTACAGTATGTGACTCAATCTTGGGGTTGTGAGTTTGAGCCCCATGTAGGGTGTACAGATTACTTCAAACTTTAAAAATATAAAAAATAGGGCGCCTGGGTGGCTCAGTTGGTTAAGCGACTGCCTTCGGCTCAGGTCATGATCCTGGAGTCCCAGGATCGAGTCCCGCATCGGGCTCCCTGCTCGGCAGGGAGTCTGCTTCTCCCTCTGACCCTCCCCCCTCTCATGCTCTCTCTATCTCATTCTCTCTCTCAAGTGAATAAATAAAAAATCTTTAAAAAAAAATGAACGAAGCTTTAATTTAAAGCTTATATAGAAAGATTGCAAGTTTAAAATACACCTAAACCTTAAGGTATCAAAGAACACTGTTAAGAATGTTATGAGGGAGGGTATGGCACTTGTAGGCTTAATTTCATCTGGCCTCAAGACAAATGCTCAACAGGCAGTATCAACCTCTAATATGTGGTTGTGAATATAAATAAGCTATAAAAAGGCATGAGATGGGTGTATTTCTTCAAAAGCACAATAAGCCTCACTCGTCCCTTGTCTACAGAAATAACAAATACTGAGAACAGGCAAGAAAATTTCATGAGCTTATGTGACTTAGACAAAAAAATACTTTAAATCATAGCAATACTGAACCATGTTTCTACAACCAAAGGGCTATACTTAATTTGTGTGCCAGTTAATATGGTAGCTTTGGCAAACATGTTATTTTTGCAACTGGGAGCATGCCTAGTATGTGAGTACCTCTGGAATACGATTAACTGACTTATTTTTCTCTGCAACTATTCTCCTGTGTATATTCATATTTCCCATGGTCTTTTTTCCTCTCCATTCTCAACCCATTCCACCATATATCAATATTAGACAAATTAAGCATCTTTCATTATTTTCATATTTCATTAAATCAACATTTAGCTAGTATTATTTTAACTGAGTAATTATTCAAGGCTGCCTCCATAAGGATGTAAAGTCTTCTAAGAAAGAGATCTAGTTATCTATATTTCCTACAACCACCTCTAGCATAGTTATTAGCACACGGTAGGCAATTAACAAATGATCAAGTGAATGAAAAGCTTCATTAACTTTTTTTTACATATGTAACCTCAGCTGATTTCTTTTGGAGGTCTAGGTACCTCCACCAGAGAAAAGATCTTAATATAAATAAAACCTACTGTGTAAGACAGGAGCTCAATAAATATTTGGCAAATATCCTCCAATCTGTGCCCTCGTTTCCATTCCCTGCAGTTCTAACTATGTCAGTACAGGCTTTGATCTTGTGTCTGAAAGTTTAATCTCCCTGCAATTCTTGTCTCCTTAGCCTAAACCATTCAATACACCATACCACTGCAGTTATTTGTTCTAGAGCTAAATGTCAAAGACATCACTCCCAGGACTCCCAAATATCCAAGCTCCTGTCCTAGTATTAGGTTTATATTCGAATGTACCCCCCTCATATACACATCTACCACACTGAAATTTTCTCATGTTTCCAAACACATTTCTTTCCCTACTATTTTCTTTCTTTTGGTTTGGGGTGTTTCCTCTGCCTACATCTTCCTATTCCACACATTTAAAACTCATTAGGCTACTCTTCCTGTGGGAAGTCTTTTTTGACCCACTATCCTTCATGATTTAAAATTCTAGAGCCTCAGGGCGCCTGGGTGGCTCAGTCGTTAAGCGTCTGCCTTCGGCTCAGGTAATGATCTCAGGGTCCTGGGATCGAGCCCCGCATC